TACTTAGTATGCTAGAATTCAAGAATATTTTCGAAATTTGGTGTTACTCCAGAATCGTCTCTCATTTGGAAGAAGCTAACCTCTCAGTAAACCAATTACACTTGTACTTTTACGTAACACTGGAGATAAGTATAAACATATATTTTTCTTTTGTAGTTAATTATATCATATACAATTTTTTTCAATCTTAATATTGTGTTCACATGTTGGACAAGGTATCGGATATGTTATCAATGGTCCAGATAATGGGTTGACGATCGATACAATATTTCATATCAACAATACTAAGCAGACAAACAAGTTTGAATATTTGATGTTGTGTGGCGAATTTTAATCCCCCGTGATCAGACACCAGATCAGATAATCCAAGCTTTCAACCCTATCCACATTTCAGACTCATTGAAACACAAATAGTTGTGACAGAGGTTAGAAGATCAGATAGAATAAGCCAAGCTTGTAGTTTCTGCATTGTGTAAAATTTTCAAAGAAATGCATGACTTAGCAAAATACATCAACTTATCGAAACATGTTTGTAGACTTTGAGTAATCCAATCGGCTATGTTTTTTCACTGAAGAAAAATACAATTGATCTTTTACGAAAGACAGGAAAAAATATCATCCTACAGCCTCAATCCTTTTTCTTAGCCTTGGGGAAACCTAATTTAATCCGGGTAATAAAAATGTACCGGTAGATTTTTTTCAAAATATACTCCGATTTTTGTCACCTTAGGCGCGTCTAGGTAACGCAAAGCCTCGCTCTATCATTGTTAGTTTTAAGACAGTCGGCGTTTCCCTTTGATGTGTTCTCCAACCGCACCGTTGTGAAATCATTCTGCCTGAGTGATTTCCCCCCTTCCCACGGTAGGACGAATCGGGCCTTAACGGAGTGAGGAAAGGGGGGTTAAATTTGCCGGAAAAAATACCCAGTCTGTTTCATTGTTACCCGATCGTTGATTCCCTTGATGCCGGATTAGGTGTCCAGTGTTTTATCTTACGGTGGTTGTGTTGTAAGGGTAGATGCACACGCCTCGAACTATTAAAGCAGCTAGCCACTGTGGAGATTCATTGATGATGTGTTCACGGTTGCTACAGGACGTCGATCGTTTCTCCTCGCGCGTTATTCTCTCAGCGGGAGCCCATTGCAAGTATGATGTTTGTTTATAACTCTGTGATATACCTCATCAGTCTTATGTATACCATGTTTACATTCTCCCAACTGAAGGGGTTTTGTGAAACGCGAAACGTTTAAATATCCTCAACCTCGCGTGCACATGTGTAATAAATTAAAAGAGAGATTTTGTTTTGAAAGCGGAGATCCCCCGCGAACAAGCGTTTAAAACATTCAATAGCATGTTTGTCGTATCTTTTCACAACATTTTCCCGATTTTTCTCACAATCAAATGATATCATTTTTCGGACGTGGTTTTGGATTCCGTATAGTCACATTGAAGTAGTTTAAAAGAAGGTTTGCAATCTTTTCAGACTGCTAATCCGTTTGTGACCAGGAATATACTTTGACAAGCTGATGACATAGTTTATCAGCAAAAAGCTGTGATATGCATCTCAAGAGCAGACATTTTACCTACCCATTCGATCTCAGTTACTTTGTAGAAACCTGTCCCATGACACAAATATGTAATATATATTCCGCATAGTCATTGTGAATTGCAACTTGGAAATTCAACACACCTTTATTAAATTAGATATAAGATTAAATTCCTCCTTCTGGATTATGTTGATTGTCTTGTAGGATTATGTATTCCAATTTAAACTTACCTGATCCCTCCGGTGATATTCATAGTTGTCACTGTAACAGATATCTTTTCGACTCCCTGCTTGTCCAACACGGTAGAAATATAGCGCAAACGCCACTGTTTGTAAATGAATTTGTAAGTGTTTGATTTCTAAAAAACGACATTATTCAGAAAATACAGTGATCGGCTTGAAATCACGTGCTCACTGTGATCATATCCTGTTATTTAATGATTTGATATTGTCGTTTCATGGAAATATTGCGAAAATTTAGTCCTATGCAGCCTCCATCAAGGTATTTGTATCTGTTGATAATATTAATTCTATCATGTCCATGTTTATGAAATATTTTTTGTTTCATACCTTGAGTCTGAATAGACATTTATGCAATATAAGACTTCTTTATGATTGGAAACCATTATTTTGAAACATAACTTCTTAAATGCATGACAAACGGTTTGTAAATAAGTATAAATTTATACCTTTCGTGAAATCGGTGACATGAAGTGCTAGCACTGTGGACATGTTGAGAAGTCAATGAAATAAATAAATAGAATTGTAAGCCATGTTCGAATACCATCTAATTACAATGAATGCTAAATTGTACTTTTTATACAACATGTTATGAAAATTCTAACCTGGATAAATATTCATGTAATCTTTCAACTACGTCACCTTTCAATTTCTATGTTCACTTTAAAAAAATAACAATGTTAAGCTGGTTTGCTTTACAATAAAGCTAATTTATTTACTTTAAGTTTTGCAATTACTAATTAGGAATAACAACCGCTTATTACGCTTGTTCCTAAACATAATCACACAGTTATCTTCTTCGCCAACACAACACTCGTTTACATTCCACACAGTGCAAATCCTTCCATGACTACTGTAATATGATTGATGGTCCGGCGTATTAAAAAGCGTTTAAACAGAAATGGGTTGGTCAAATATTTGTATCCAGGAAAAGAAAAGGCACGAGACACAACCATTAACGCGTTAACGTTGGTGTCGATTGTCGCGTTGAGTTGGCAAACCAATCCAAGGAGTGGTCACCGCTTAAGCTTTATCAAGGAATAATTGCAATTATTATTGACTGTTCTGATAACAGTAAATTGTGGTCAATTGGAACGGCTCACAATTGATTCACGGTCAAACAATGTAAACTCCTCAAAAGGGGGAAATTGATAAATAGCGTTATTTGCAAATTGAAGCATTGTGCCTAAGCGTCATATTGTAAAGTGTGCGAATTTAATAAATAAAGCAAATTAATTCATTATCCTGACATCAGGGGCTATTAATGTCGAAAAGGGGATAGAATATGGAAAGAACATGATTCAAACTACTGACGCCTTGTAATATTTGATCGAGACGAATCAAAACATATTTAAGAATAATTAGTAACAATTTTTCGAACAACGCTAATGAGACGAAATAATTTGTAGGGATAAACAATTTAGGACCATTTGTTTTTCGGGATTTTGTGATAAGTTAGAAGAAAGAAATTAAGGAGGAGATTGATAATACCTTTCTTTTAACTTCGTCAGAGTATTTAAAAAAAAATCCAAAAAAAATCTAATGTATAGCGTGCGGGTTTATGGTATAAGTAATAATAAAACGAACATATTTTTCCAGCTGTAGATATTCCAATTAATGCACATGATGCACATAATTTTTGTAACAATACAATGAAATCTGCTTATGCCATTGAAATGTCACTCACTGGGCTGATCTTAGGTTGAAATTAAATTTGAAACTCAAGAAAAAGCCAAGGATCGCAGGGGCAAAACTATCCTAATAAACAGGTGGTGTTTGTGCTTTAGTAAGCTGTTGTGAGGATACAGCTTGATCAATGGGTCGATAACAGCGAGTTGAGAGGCACTGCCCCCTGTGGTCAAAGGCTCGATGTGTTTACTCATACATCGTCGTGCAATATTGCTTCATTTTAAACCCAGAGAAACGTTATGTAAACTGTTCAGTCACATACAACAATAAACTTCCGGGGGGGGGGGGGGGGGGGGGGGGGATGTTTTTTTAAAATTTCGTGATATATTTGGTTCGGGCTTTGTGTCCAATGTGGACTTCAAGTCAGGTATTGACAGTTTGTATGAATACTGCCACGACATATGTTTAAAATGAAAACGCACAATCAATGATCATTTTCAACAGCTCATTGATTCTCATATGGATGTTATGTATAGAAATATTCCTCTCAAAGTAAACTTGATCCTAATTCATCACGGGTGAACTTTTAGAATTATTCCCGAATCCTTCACGCACACATTATTGACGGCAAACCAATAAAATGGATAAATAGAACCCAAATATAAAACTCTTTTCCGACACACCTTTTCAAAAGGCCAAACAATGTGGATTGATACAAATATTTCTTATATTCTAACTTTCTACTTAGGCATCGCGTGATAGGGATATGGTCACCTGTGTTCATTTGTACTCACCATTGCGAGAGATGTCGCTTTATGATTCACTATACCGCGACTAAGTCGTGTTTCTCGGGGTTGAACGATGAATCTTAAAGCGAGTTATTTAGCTCAAGAGGCACGGCTAGCCGACTGACCCTCGTGTTTCAATGCACAGCCGACCGACACTAATCTCCCCCATCTGTGAAATTTTGCCATCTGGCCTCGTATATTATTAAGATTTGGATAATACCCCACAATCTCCGTATGAAGCGGAGACAGGATGGGCTGGGTAGAGTCTGTTTATAGAGATGTCCCGTCCATGGTGACAGAACTGTCTTGATGCTGAGGTATCTGTCTTCGCGTCGTGGTTTCCCACACATATACTGTGTCTACGATAATCTAGTGGTACTCCTGGACTGCGATCTGATGATGATGATGATGGCTTATCACTTTACTTATCTTACCACATTGTGTCGGGATGTTGTTATAAGGATGGGCTTTGGGATGGGCAGCCCATCTCTCAGTTGTCTTTAGCACTGGAGGGACACGGAGAACAGCAGCGGGCTGGTAGTGTTGATTTTAAGATGCATTTTTGCATGTATGATCTTTGCATGTTGTATGGTGTATGTTTGTTGGTTATGATGATTATTATTCCCAAAGTATGCCTTTATGTCGATATGAAATATCACTTTATTTGTCTTTAAACTTTGATTACCCGAGGTCATTACTGTATTATGTTATTACGTAAGAGTTTGTTTTTTAGAAATGTGAGCATTTATTTGATGTTTTTTTTCTGAAACTTACTTATAATTTGTTGTTATTTTCTAGGATCCTCAGCCGTTTGGCGGAACACCACTTGCCATGTTAGCAGCCCAGTGCAGCAAAATCACAAACAAGAGCCCTCCACCGTTAGCAGAAGCGACAGTCGGCAAGAGTTTTGTCCCTTGGAAGAAGGGCGTTGCTACTAGCGATAACCGCAACCCCCTCCATCTTACCTCCCAGAGAGTCCCTACTCTCAACCCCTCGTTGTCGATGACCAGTAGTGGACTAACCTACCCTCGGTCAACAATCAACTCTTCTTGTTCCGGGAGCTACGGCAGCGACATGCTGTACCCAACGACAACGTCAGCGTCGCAGAGCGACATCTCCCAAGCAGCATTCCTTCAGAAGATGCACGGAGACAGCGGTATAGGAAACTCGAGCTTCGGCGGGATGTACTCCAGGGTTCCGTCTGTCACAGGCCACCATTATGAAGCGTGGCCCTTCGCAGCAGGCATGACGTCATCACATCCACCGGCGACGCACACGTTGAAGACCGAGATGACGACGACGGTGAACGGCGGATCGCCGTGGTGGGAGATGCATTCGGCCAACATGCACTCCAACCCTTCCAACTGGCTGTCTGATATCCCAAGTTCCGCTTCCGGACCCCATTCTCAGATATCTAGTGGATATCCATCCTCGGAATACCCCTTGGGGTATAGCTTACCATCCGCCCCTAGTTCCCTACTCTCCTCGGGTCAACACTTATTACAGGACACTTACAAATCTATGCTCCCTGCCCAAGGGGAATTGGGAGCGTCAAGTGTGACCCCCTTCCTCACCCGACCCGGGTTGTCTGGGATCCCGAGTCCTCGCAGTCAGAGACGGTACACTGGTCGGGCGACATGCGACTGCCCCAACTGTCAGGAAGCAGATAGGCTTGGACCCGCCGGGGAACATCTTCGGAAAAGGAACATTCACAGCTGCCATATTCCCGGCTGTGGTAAGGTGTATAACAAAACGTCACATCTTAAAGCTCACCTTCGTTGGCATACTGGCGAGAGGCCGTTTGTGTGTAACTGGTTGTTTTGTGGGAAAAGATTCACAAGATCAGATGAGCTTCAGCGGCATTTGAGAACACATACCGGAGAAAAGAGATTCGCATGCCCCGTGTGCAATAAAAGGTTCATGCGCAGTGATCATCTGAGCAAGCACGTGAAGACCCATAGTCAAACAGGAGATAAGAAAGGAAGCGGAAGTGACACCGAGAATAGTCAGGAAGCTGTTAATGTCAACACATCCCCTACGAACACAGCGACACAGATCTCACAAGTACCCATAAAGGAAGAGCAGGCAATGAGATAGAGTGATCTCCCTTTGTGTCCTTGGACAAGCGGCACATAAGACTTTGTCAAATCCAGTGAGACAGTGATGGTATAATATTCAAACTTTGTGAAGAACGTGCTCTGTGACAATCCCTTGACACACATATTCTATAAATCCTTATGACGTCATTATGACGTCATATTGACGTCAGTTCCAGTGATAAATCATTGTATTCACTTTTTACAGTGGCCTGTTTCATGAGATTGTAGAGAAAATGTCAGATTCTCACGTACTTTTTAACAGACAGCTTAATTTGTCATCAATACATATGTCAATTTGAACAGTGTGCTTGCCGCAGCTCGAGACATTCAAAGAGGCAAGTCACACATCAAGACTAACAGGGAATGCATATTTCTTTGATCGTATTCAAACAACGATATTTGATATTATTTATAAATGTATTAATTGTGGAAGGAGGATATGTGTAGTGATTCGTATTGATATTCTGTAGCAACGAAAAGTTGAATTTAATTTTTAATCACGTAGGTTAAAACCTTTGAAGTTGATTACTGCATGTATGCAATAACACTTTTTCTTTGAATGTCAAAGAAGTAATTGACTTTGAGATGCAAATGTCTCTGATCCATATGTTTCAAACTAATTGAAATAAGAAAAAGATTAAAATCAAAAAGATATTTGATTCCTAAATTCATGGGTGAAAGGACTGAGGACAATTTTGGTCTTGGCTAAATTTGTTTGTCACTAGTCGAGACATATTCTTTCATATCTTCATAAGTATTAGTTATGAACATTTTTACCGAATCGCATTTGACATATTTTACACTCTTCATATACCATCTTGCAATTACGAGTATATCGGTGTGGGAAAATACACGCTTACGGGAAAAGTATGTAATTTGTATTGTTATTACCAAACAATGGACAATGTGCAAATGTTATGGGATTTTTATTGTTAAAGCATTAACGTGTATTACTCTTTTTCAGTTTTAACTATAAACGAAGCAAAACCATTTCATTTTTTAAATTAAGACCATTCTATTTTTATGTGACTGTATTTCAGTCGGTTTACTCAAATAGATAAATTCAAACCAATATATATATACATTTAACACCGATCGTACTCAATATAGCGAAAAGGTACAGGGACCGGTTCATATTGCTGGTACATGATACGTATCTGATATGAAACTTGTTCACAGAATATAGCACTACTCATCATATTTGCATTTTGTTCAAATTCAAGAGCTTTGGGAAGATATTATGGATGAAATGCTTGATGTGAAAACTTTCTTGCTGAAAATAGTTGATCCAAATATAATTACACTTTATTTGAATTAAGAAATTGCCAGCAAGAAATATTTCTTCGTGATAATTGAAACATTGGAGATTTATAGCAACAGTAGCTAAGTATGCATTTGATATATGTCAGGTTGTGAGTTTTTCATGGGTGTGAGTGTTAACAGTTCTGTCTGAATTAAATGTTAAGAGCATGGTTCTGTTTGAATTGTGTTGCTGTTTACACCATGTTCTGTCTGAAAATGTAATATTTGGAGGGTGTGTTTCTTCCTCGATGTAAATAGTTAATTATTATTGTACAGAGTGCTAGATAAAATGTTCAAAGCTGTAATAAATCTATTTGATACACATATGTTATCGTTGTTTCATATACAGAGGTTACATTACACATCCGAATGACGTCATGTTGGATTCAACGTCGCGAGTAACCTTGCTCCAAGGCTTTTCTGAATGATAAGTCCATGGATGTATAGTTGTTCTATCCTTATATTAGGCAAGTCTAGATACGTGGACGGTACTGCCGCCCGTCAGTTACAGGGACAACTTGTTCTTATTTATAATATAATCTAGGAATTATGATTTACACTAATAAGCATTTCCTGAGAAACTTGTGCACGTCAACGTCACGAGTAACAGCGTGCTATTTAAAGTAGGCCATGCTCCTTAGAATTAACACACGTGAACTTATTTGGCTAAACGGTACAGCCTAAAGAATCTACATCTGAATGTGATGGAATCTTTTATATAGGCCTTCCATATCTTTTTATTCTTGCTTGTAAAACATATCTCACGGTTAGATTCAAAACAAGCAATGAACGAAACGTTTCTTTTCAATGTGAATACGTGATCACAAATGAAACTAAAATACAAAACAAATTATTTAGTTGGAAAATATTATCATAAAGTTAAAATGTTGACAGTTTTGTTTGAGTTTTTTTCCTGTACAGAATTAATGCGTTTATCAATCATCCAACCATGTGTCAATCTCGTCAGCAAATGGCTGAAAAAGTTTATTATACCATGAACTCGGGTTCATCATACCACCAAACAAAAATACCTTTGTTGATTAAAAACCTATACTTGTGGATCTATATATATCCATGAAAAGTATTTTCAACTTGACATGAAAGTGAATAAAGCGGTGTGATGCTTTCCGAACAACTAGTTTCGGTTTGGTCGAACATGAAAAGGTTACTCAAGAGTCGTGTACATTTTTTGTATGGATAAAATGAGTATTCGATCGTTAGTTGTTGACAGGTGTTCTCGGTGCGATCTGATTAAAAGATTTCGTCGTGACAAGGTGCAATGCAGCCAAATTTAACTGAAAAGTGTTCTGTGTTTAAGGTCACCGTGTGGATACATTCGAATAAATAGTATTCTGTGTCTAAGGCGACCTTAAGACTACATTCAAATAAATAGTAGTCTGCTAAAGGACACAGTGAGGCTACATTCAAATATACAGTGTTCTGTTCTGTCGAGCTTGTAAATTGGATACAGCAAATCAGAGACACAGGTCGACACATCGGTTCACCAAACTCCATTGTGGCCAGCCAATCTCCATTTAGTCAAATGTTACAACAGACTAGTACCCCGTGAAACTATCCTTGATCTAAATCACCAAAGAACATACATGTGTACGGTCTGAAGCTATTTTGAATATTTTTATTAATAATTTAAATAAAATCTTAACGCAAATACAACCTCTATTCCACAATAACTTGTTTACATACTCGAGATTTCTCGTGTTCTCCGTAGCAATGGGGTATTACAGCTCCGGCTATTAGATCCACTGACCAATGGATAAGTGCTTGTACTGAAGGGTTAAAATGCTAATAAAGTTGGCATGCGATCTAATGAGAAGCTTTGCCATCACACGAGATAATGGATATTATCCATCGTCGATACACAGTTTCTGTCAATCCTATTATTCGCCGCCATAGCTATATTCAGGATGTGACGTCACTATCTGCACTTCTCCTATCAGTAACCTCGTACAGTATTTCCTTCGCTGGTGAATGTAATAGTTTGGTGGCGAACGGGTCCAGGGTATTTATCGGAACAGAATGGAGATATTATACCCTGGAGAGTCGAGGATGGGATTTCTCATACTAAAAGACCTTGTTATCTATCACAATAAATTCTTTTTGTTGACCATTTTACAACAAATAACAACACCTCAGACAAAGAGGGGTGGTGGGGTTGCCTGGTGGTCAACGTTCGCTCGTCACGCCGAAGACCCGGGTTCGATTCCCCACATGGGTGCAATATGTGAAGCCCATTTCTGGTGTTCCCCGCCGTGATATAGCTGGAATATTGCTAAAAGAAGTACTATTGAAATAAGCAAAGAAACAAGTGAACGATTACGTCAATATCGTATAAGATGAAATCGGATGGTGTGAGCAGGGCTTCACTGCATACCTATCAACTCAATATCAAATAAACAAGCGTTGATAAGATGCATTGTTAGGTGTGATTGACGGGAGATCTGTCACTCACAGTTGTCAATAGCTGGCTGGCAAATAGGTGACTGGTTCAATACTGACACCTGAGGTGTGAGGCGACGGTCACGTGACAGCTTGCCATCGGTGAACTGGTACACGAAGTATTGAACAGCTTCGCTAGAAAATTGTTATTGCAAAATCGAAACGACTTCTGATTTAGTGTTTGTATGAACTGCATTTTGTCTCCGCCAAACTGGCAACAGTGTGTTATTTTAAAGAATATTTAATTTCGTTTTAGTATTGAGAAAGTGCATTACATTGAATTAAGCGTCATGCTACCCTCGTTGGCGTTTCTAGATGGTTGGAATGTGACGCTATATCTGTGAAATAGGTCGACACGTTTCCTAATCGATAACATGGATATGGCTTAAATCATACTTCGGATATAGTGCTTAGTCGCGTGAAATACATTTCGTTATAACGCCTGGTTACTATTGGCAATTAAAAAAATAATAAACTTGGTAAAACATTAGGTCAAACGTTTTACCAATCTTTGAAATGGCATCAGAACTAACTTGGTCTTCTGATATTGGTAACAAAGCTTCTCGGAGTGAGTGAGTGAATTTCGTTTTATGCCGCAGTCCGCAGGAATATTCGGAGGTTGTTGGACATGTCAATAATCATTTTCTCTCTGTGCTGACCGCCGCCGTGGTCTAGTGGTAGAGCGTCCGCCCGGAGAGCGGAAGGTCCGGGGTTTGATCCCCGACCGCGTCATACCAAAAGACGTTAAAAGATGGAACTTGTTGTTACCCTGTCTGGCGCTCGGCATTAAGGGGCTAAAACAAGAACTGGTCGGCTCGGAGTCAGTATACTGTGTCTGAGTGGGGTATTCATGTTAAACTGCGGCATGGTATCTCAGTGAGCTAGCACTATTAATCGGCATCAGTCCGGACCAGTACAAGCAGCCACACACACATACACATGCATGCACGTCGCTATATAAGTGCAATAGTCTTGGACGCGACGTTAAACCCCATTTCACCTCACCTCTCTCTGTGCTACACATCCGGACACGATGCCATACAGCACAAGTCACACATTGAGACCACCTAATCCTCATTTGAGTAGGCTTTTGGGGATCGGGTGGTCAGACTCACTGACTTGGTTTGATGCATGTCATCGTATCCCAATTGCGTGGATCGATGCTCATGATGTCAATCACTAAATTGTCTCTTCCAAACTCGATTATTTACAGCCCGCCGTCATATAGCTGGAATATTGCTGAGTGCAGCGTTAAACAACAAACAAACAAACAAATGAGCTTTGATTTTTGAGGTTATAATAGTTTTAATTAATATTTTGTTATACAGAGTATAAAAAACCTGCCTCACAGAATCCCCTCGTGGGACCACGAAGGCAGCATGTGATTTCATTATACAATTCGAACATATTTATTGGTTCCTTAATTCTTGCCAGGGTGATATACTGTGATGGGTAATCCTAAATTGATGTTATCTTTATATGGTTGTGAAGCCCATTTCTGGTGTCCCCCGCCGTGAAATTGCCGGAATATTGCTAAAAGCGGCGTAAATCCATACTCACTCACTCACTCACTCACTTTATATGGTTATCACGAACACCTGGTGTCATCACTGGCTTTTCAGTGATCCATTGTATTTGTTCATCACTATTTTGCGTTTTATTCCCAATTGAATCTGTATCGGTGGATCATCAAAACTGATTATGTTCTGGTATTTACGTCTCCTATAAGATCAGTCGGTCAGCCTTCAAGGTGAGTTCAGGGATTCATTCTCGCTGGTTGTATGTGTGTCAACTGTAGTTACCATATAGACTACAGTGTGTATAGTTGAGCGCATTAACTAAAAAGCTCTAACTCGAGCGTGATACACCCGGCCTACACACTCATCCGTCCAAACCTCTCATTCTCATCCATAAATCGTCACATCCGTTCTTGCATCTTTCGTTCCATCCATCCTGGCAATTCTCCCACACGCCCGATCAAACCTTTGTCCATCCATCCCATCTCACACCAGATCCATCACATATTTCTATCCACCCTTCTTGCTCACCTATTCATCGATGTATCATCCAATTCGTTAATGGGACTATCCACCTATCTCTTCACGTACCGCCCTCCTAGTTCACCTTCGCACTAATTTTATAGTCCTTCCATCTAGCCATCCATTTCACACACGCCCATCGGTCCATCTGTCGTCCATCTAACCATCTCACGACCATCCATTAATCGTTCTGGTCGGCCAGCAATCACATTACGTCCACCACTCGTTCCATCTAGCCATCCATCTCACACACGCCCCTCGGTCTATCTGTCGTCCATCTAACCATCTCACGACCATCCATTAATCGTTCTGGTCGGCCAGCAATCACATTACGTCCACCACTCGTTCCATCAAGCCATCCATCTCACACACGCCCCTCGGTCCATCTGTCGTCCATCTAACCATCTCACGACCATCCATTAATCGTTCTGGTCGGCCAGCAATCACATTACGTCCACCACTCGTTCCATCTAGCCATCCATCTCACACACGCCCATCGGTCTATCTGTCGTCCATCTAACCATCTCACGACCATCCATTAATCGTTCTGGTCGGCCAGCAATCACATTACGTCCACCGCTCGTTCCATCTAGCCATTCATCTCACACACGCCCCTCGGTCTATCTGTCGTCCATCTAACCATCTCACGACCATCCATTAATCGTTCTGGTCGGCCAGCAATCACATTACGTCCACCACTCGTTCCATCTAGCCATCCATCTCACACACGCCCCTCGGTCTATCTGTCGTCCATCTAACCATCTCACGACCATCCATTAATCGTTCTGGTCGGCCAGCAATCACATTACGTCCACCACTCGTTCCA